GGGGGGGTCAAATGGGGTGGGGGGCATCGCAGAGGCCACCGTTATCATCACCAAAGTGCGGAAGATGCGGTCACTAAGTTTTCCAAATGGAATTTCTGTTGTAAAAGTAGCCAAAGCCGAGATGCCACCGCCTAAGTACATCTTGTGTGGGCCCCCAGGGAAGAAAACGACAAGAAGAGCGCAAAAGCAGAAGTCTCTTTGTGTACCGAGCACAACAAACTTAAGGTAAACAACGCATTTAAAGCAATTTCCATTGGACCAATCAGATACTGCTCTGTAGCGAGTAGTGACAGTATTGCTTTGAGACTCAGCGGCTGGCTTGTCAGATTCTTAGTCTGGCTGCAGCCTTAAATTCTAAATTATTGGTTGATTGATTGCCAGTTGCGTTCGCCGCGTGTAGGCCGATCGATAGCCTGCCGTGTGCGCGGCTTGTTGCCTGTCTGCTTGCACGTTGACATCAGTTTTGTCGCCAACTGATTCCATAAGGATGAGCCCTAACACGTCCACTTTAATTTTTTTTCAATCTGACAATCAAATAATGGACTAAAGCGCGAATTCGGTTCTTTGCAGCAAACTTCCCTATCTACAACATTTAAAACTTTTTAAAAAAGAAAAATCTTATCCATGTCACCCGAAGGAGCCCGAATTATGTCTTTTAAATCAGTGGAGATACTGAAGGATAGAATTAAATGCTTCGCACTAGGAACGCTAAAAACTTCCGCCAGTTATGGCCAGAGAAGTATCCAGGCCGCTACTATAGTAGCATAATGCATATATGCATTAGAATGAGACCGGAAAGACGACCATTGGTAAACAGTATTAGCTAAATTAATGTTTTTCTCGACTTTCTCACAGTCCTTCGGATTTTGCATCAGTAGTTCATTTTACGCCTCATCTACCTATCTAACTACCTTGCGCTGCACCTCAATAAAACCTATATTCCAGGAGCACAAATTCAAAATGGAACCGATTGTGTCCTCTAATAGTATATGCCAGCATTATGCAAGCATATTATCGGTGTATGCATCCCAGCAACATGCCCACACGCCGATTGGCTAAGATACTCACATGGTGGGGTGCTGTCAGGCTGCCAACTTACGCCATGACTATGGTCGGTCTACGAGTGTCAACCAAGAGAATCAAAGAAATCTTT